GGGATGGGGGAGGGGGAGGGGGAGGGGGAAGGGGAGGAAGAAGATGAGGAGGAGGAGGAGGCTGAAAAGGAGGAGAAGGAGGAGAAGGAGGAGGAGGAGGACGTGGAGGATCCTTGATCGGTCCATGGCCCATGTGAGTTTCAATGTCAGCCTGTCGCAGTGCACAATATGAGACGCACGATGCGACATGTAAGTGCAAGAAACATGAGCCTGCGGGCGAGAGACCACACCCGGTGGGAGGATGGCATGGGGGGCTCAAAGGCCCAGTGGGCGTGCGCCGACCCGGCGGGGAGGAAGGAGCCCCAGGAAAGGAGACACGGCCGTTGAACATCAGAAACAAAGAAGCCTGAGGCAGCATAAAGATACCACAGGCTACCTGCGTGTCGGATGCCCATGAGAAGGCGCATCCCAGAAATCCAACGCTGCAGTGCAAGACAGGACAGTCGGCACTGAGCCACTGGAAGTGGGCACGAGCCCCAAGGATGAGCTTCGCCACATCAAGACCGGCTGAGCGTAGGTAGCACTGTCACGAGCCCAACGTCGATTCGATGGCGAATGAGGGAGACCCCAAGAGGAAGCAGGCGGTACAGGCCCCTGACTGAAAGGCAAGTTTGAGCAGCGGGGGTGTCCAAGACACCGAGTGAACAAGTGCATGCACCATGGCATGGGACGCACGGAGACATACTAGTACAGTGCCGTTTCTAATACATGCTCCGCGTGCGGATCATGTATTAAACATGCAGGGATCTAGTATTGAAAACAAAGAGGAGTTCATGCATCAATGTATTCCTAGATTAATCATGTATTAAACAACTCCCAGTTTGAAAACTCATATGTAGTTAAAGAGAACACTGCCCTGCACTATAGGTCCTCCTCGGAGGCGCGCGCCCGACCCGAACATACGGTATACCCATCTTGGAGCAGCTCGTTTCTCGAGCGGCGTGGCAAGAGAACGCCCGCCACGACGCACATGCCACTAGGTTTCTCGGTGCGCGCATCGGCCCTGGGGGGGCAACGTGCAGAGCCGTTTTTGATGCATGCTCCGCGTGCGGATCATGTAAAACAAACGCAGGGTTTAGTACTGACAACAACGACGGGTTCATGCATGTGTTAAAAGTCCTGTATGTTTGAACATCCAATCTATAAACATAACTGCCCTGTACACTAGTATTCGTATGTTGGGGTGACGCCGGTAGCACTGCGCGCAGAGAGGCAGGTGCGCCGAGTGCTAACGATGGCACTGCCGACTTGCAGGGCTCTTTGCTCGGTGGAGGGTGAAGGCTGCAACCACCCATGCGGGCAGTACTCATGTCCATGTCCAGACGTCGTGGACTTTTTGGGAGGAGGTGCCGCAGCGCCGAGGCGCACTGGGTATGGATAAAGATTCAAGCCTCTTGGGGCCGGATTTTTATCCATATCCAGTGCGTCTACGGTTTCCGGGGAAGAGGGCCCGAGAATCCAAGACGCACCGGATGTGGACATAACTACTGCCCGCAGCCGCCGAGGCGCGCGAGCAGGACAGGGGCAGCAGCGAGCACGGGCAGGACGCCGGGAGGGCAGCCACACGAGCGCAGACCTGGGCAGACCTACACCACAGGCGATGCTTAAGAAAACCTAAGTTTTCGGCCAGAGCCTCGATTATTCTTAATGTTTCAATGTAAATCCCAAGATTTGAATAGACATTCTGGGTTTTCATTCAGATTCTGAGACTATGAATTTCTTAACCCATGATTTCTTAAGCATTTCGCAGGGTGTACAGCTAGGGGGGCACGAGGGGGGCACGTGCGAACCCTACCCCTACCCCCCACGAGATCTGAGGGGGAGGGTGGGGTTCACTTCGCTCGGGAGCTCCCGAACGAAGTGAACCCCACCCTCCCCCATCGAAATCGTGGGGGGTAGGGTTCGCACGTGGCCCCCCTAACAGCGCGCAGGAAAGTTGTTCGATCCAGAAGGCTGCAACCGACAGAGTGCGACAGTGGCAGCGCAGTAAGCGCTGGTAGGATGCCAGTGGACAGCCGACGAGCAGAGATCTCGACAGATCTGCGGCACGCAGGGAAAGGACGGAGCCAGGAACGCCACGCCAGAGACTCAACGGGGCCAGAATAGGCGTGCAGAAGGCACCGGTGAAATCAACGGCCTTTGCTGCCTGGCTCTGGGACGATGTCGGGAAATTCCTGAATTCTGCGAGCGAACCCGAAATCAGAGCATCCTTCCCTTCGGGAGGATATTCCTCGATGCAACAGGCGCGGCAACAACCCTGTACCTTCCTTGCACATCTTGGCATTTCGCCAGCGTCCGTCGTGTGTGAGGTGTCTGCAAAACCAGTACGCTGGTGCCCCCGCTGGGAACGCATCTGAGACAATGTAATACTCCACTGTTAGCTCGCGGCGCGGGCCAAAACCTCCTCTTGCACGATTTGGACATGGGAGGAAGCGGAGTGCGAAAGCCCTCCCTTGCACTCCAGTTTGGTCGCTGCGCAGGGGCCTGGAAAAAGCATCGCGCACGGGCAATGGAGGCCTCTCGTGCGCTGGCAGCGCGCCATACAATTGACGGCACTTGCGTGTGAAAATCCATCCAGTCTTGCCTGGAGGTTCATGCCACAGACACTACGATTTCAGCGAAACTACGTCACTACATCGGTACTACATCGGATTACAACATAGGAGTGGGAACAATTGGAACATCAACATGTGAGGTACGCATTATCCTGAGTAAGCCTCCGACGCGCGCTGCCTCTCATGCGAGACCATGGCCTCACCCGCATCGCCCTTAAGGGGCCCGGGCGCATGCCCGCACAGGCGATCCGATCCGATCCGATCCGATGTCTTGATGTCTCCTCCACGCAGTTCTTGACGAGCCTTCACTTTTGCAACGTGTTCCTCTGACGGCAGTGAGGACGAGACAGCGCGCTCGGCCCACTCCATGACAGAACGTCTGGGCTGCGCATCGGCGTGGCTATCGCACAGCGTTGTCTGCATGTCCAGCTGCTCCTGCTCTGGCTGCTCTTGCTCCGTGTCGAGCTGGCCTTGCTTCGAATTAGCCGTGCCAGCTTTGAGGGCGCGAACGTCGGCAGGGATTAGAAGCTTCCAGGAACGAGGGGACCTGGAGCGCGACTGGGGGCGGCCCGTGGAGGCAGCCGCAGAGGGAGACCGAGGACAAACGTACGGGCGAAGCTTACTGTCAGCTCCTCCTCCTCCTCCTCCTCCTCCTCCTCCTCATTGGGAAGAAGCAAGGATGCTCTCTTGCTTTCCTCCTCGCTCGCCCTCTTCCTCTTTGGTGTCCGCGCTTCTGCCTTCCCAAACGGTGGGGGCAAACAGTTTGCGAGCGCGTCCTGTCGCGCGACAAAGTCGCCTTCGAACAATCGACGAAACGTCTAGGCATAGGCGGAGGAGAGGTGGGCGAGGATCGGGGATGGGGGTGAGGAAGGGAAGGGGGGGCAGGAGGAGAGGAGGGACGAAGAGGAAGGAGGGGGGGTCGACGAGTGCTTCGAGTGCCGTTGGGGGAAGTCCTGCCGACAGAAGACGGCCTCCGATGGCGGCGGCGGTGGCCACATCTTGGCCGAGATGTTTTTCCATCCGCGGTCCTGCATGTCCTGTCGGCCCCTTCCCCAGGGCTGGTTGTTCGCCCGGGGCCCGCTTTTTTTAGGGTGGTTCCGGACCCCGGCGACGGGCCTCGGAAACCGCAATCGTAGAAAGCTTCCAGTTGGACTCGATCATCTCGTCGGAGACTTGATGTGGCGGTGGCGGTGGCATTGCCCTGACCATCTGGGACCCCCAAATCGAGGGCAGCGCCCGCGCCAGGGTGCGTGGGCCCCCCGCCGCCGTGTGGAGGGAGGCGGCCCCCGGGCTTGCTTTCCGTGGCGTCAGCGTGCAGGTCTTCTTCCTCCTCCTCCTCGTTCTCCTCCTCCTCCTCCTCCTCCTCCTCCTCCTTGTTCTCCTCCTCCTCCTCGTCGTCGTCCTCCTCCTCCTCTTCCTCCTCCTCTTCCTCCTCCTCCTCCCCATCCTGCTCCCCATCCTCCTCCGTGCAGGTGGTGCCGCTCCCGGAGGAGACGTGGGGCCACCGAGGAGGCGTCCGCCGCCCGCACAGCTGCTGCTTCGACACCAACGGCAGGGCCTTCAACTTCGTGGTCGGCATCGTCGTCCTCGCGAGCTCCGTGCTGGTTGGGCTGGAGGCGTCGGATCATTCTAGGCCTCGGGGTACGAGTAGATGGGGTCTGAGGATCGCGCCGCATCGCCGATACATCGGCGATGCGGCTCGATGCGGAGCTTAATTTTCTCCACGCTCCAGTCGCCGATGCATCGCCGATGCATCGGCGATGTATCGCCGATGTATCGGCGATGTGGTGCGATCCTCTAATCCCATCTACCCCGACCCCATCTAGGAGGCCACTAATCATAACACAGCTGCAAAAACAAAAAGTTTGGGAGCTCCGCGCGGATCTCTTGGATCGGCGCTGGACCCCGTCCCCAGCGCGCAGCAGGCGCGCCACGGGGGTCCATGGATTTTCCGGATTAGCGCTGAGGTCTCCCTTGCGCCAGGGAGGGGGCCCAGCGATGATCCAAACAATACGCGCGGGGTTCGAGCATTTGTGTGTTGTGCAGTTTCTCGTCTGAGGCCGACCTGGGACTCCTCGGGCCCGCCGCGAGCATGCGCTGGGGCAGCCTCGATGCCGACTTGGGCCAGTTCAGCGTGCCGCCGGAGGAGGTCGCGGCATCCCTCCTCTTTCGGGTGCGTGCACAGATCGCGCTGCCTTCTTGCTGCCCCGCTGCCCTGGGGACGTCCGGGAAATTCGGCCCTTCTCCGCGTACTGTTTTTTTACACAGGATTTCTGGGAAACGGGTTTTCGCTGGGTTTTTGTTTCCAAAATGTTGCTCTCGCTGAAGCGCTGGCTTTATTTTCGGTTACCGCTTGTTCCGAATCGTGCTTCCGCTGCAGCGCTGGCCTCATTTCCGCGCTTCCGCTCGTTCCAAATCGCGCTCCCGCTGCAGCGCTGGCGTCATTATTTCCAGCGCCATGCCACGGCATGGTTTTCGGTCCTTGCAAATGGGTCCCAAAGTCTAGGAAATGTACCCTCGGAAAAACCATCGGAAGTGATTACACAGTCAGTGTCGATTCGTTGATTTTTTGGGTCGCAGGGGCCCCCCCACTTTGGGGCGTCGCCACGCCATGATATGTCAGGCTACGCGTCCTCCGAATCGTGCTCCCGCTGCAGCGCCGGCCTCATTTCCGCGCTTCCGCTCGTTCCGAATCGTGCTCCCGTTGCAGCGTGGCGTCATTATTTCCAGCGCCATGCCACGGCATGGTTTTCGGTCCTTCCAAATAGGCCGCCAAAATAGAAAACGCTCCCCAACGACCATCAGATGTGATTCCACATTCGGTGTCGATTCGTTGTTTTTTGTGGGCCGCAGAAGTCCCCCCCACGTTGGGGCGTCGCCACGCCATGCTATGTCAGGCTACGTGTTGATCTTCAACACCATGCTATGCTATGTAATGCAATGCCCTGCTACGACATCCGACTGTGCGAATCGAGAGGATACCTACGCCATGGTAAAGGATGGGAGGGAGGGGTAGGACGTCAGATATGACACGAGCACACCTAGCTTGCCCTTTCCCCCATCTCACTCTCTCCTTTTTCACACTTTCTGTCCAGGCCGCAATCTATGTCCGCCGCTGCGTCTTGTGTTTTCACCGTCGTCGTCATCGTCATCGTCGTCGTCGTCGTCGTTCTCTTTCACTCATTCTATTCTTATCGAAAGCCCCAACGAGGAAGCACCGCCGCCCCCTGTCCTTTGGAAGCGCCCATGTGGCCAAACGTTGGACCGAAGTCTGGCCAAGCTATCGGACCATGTTTCCCCCAACCGTTGCGGAACCTCTTGGAGGAACACCCAGGAGAGAAAAGAAAGCAAGAGGAGTGGGAGGAAAAGGGGGACGTCTTGGGCCTTCTGGGGGGCCTCCTGAGAGCCTCATAGGGGGTCTCCTGGGGGTTCCTAGGGTCCGAAAGCCGGTGCCGGCTGCAGGCTGTGGGCAACCTCCCACGCCGCCTTCTCCTGCACGGGCAAGGGGCTTGGCATCGCTCGGACGTGTGCATTTTTTCTCGGCGACGGCCATCGAGGACCATCCTTGATCATTTGGCGAACAAAAATCGCGCACGAAGTCGAAAAATACAGGAGGAATGGACGTCCGAGCGACGGCGAGGGAGTCGCCTGCGGTGGGGCCCCGAACTGGACAAGCCCCACACGAGGGCTTCCGAACCCGTCCCGTGCCCGCGCCGCCTCCGCGTGTCCCTGCCCCACGCGGTCGGCGCAGGGAGGGCCCCCGGCCTGTAATGCAGAGCATCCAGGAAGCCTCGCCAGGCATCGGGGGCGGCAGAGAGGGGGGTGATGACTTCGGGCGAAGAGGAGTATGCACATGCATCGATCCTGGCCAGGCCCATCCTTGACCCAGGATCGGTGCATATTCCTTCCTGGCCAAGGTAGGAGGGCGTATGCACCGATCCTGGGCTCAGGATGGGCCTGGCCAGAATCGGTGCATGTGCATAGTTATTGTTCCTCTATGACTAGGGGGGGTGGATATCATGGCGTGGGCCATGGTATCTCCCCAGATTTCATGGCGCCTCTTCTTGTTTCATTACGTGCCTGGCCCCACCGCTGGGCCGCGCGCATGCCGCCGGTCATGATTTGCACCCCCCCCTCTTGGACACCCCTTTTGGGCCGCTCCCGAAGAAAGCCTCGCCATCCAGCGATGCCCTTCCATGTGGTGAGCCAGACAAGTCAGGAGGAAAAGAAACACACAGACACAATTAATCGGCGATTCCCCAGAAAATATGGGAAAATATGGGAATTGGGGGGGAAGACAAAAACCCAGAAAATATGGGAAAATATGGGGATTATTTTTATTTGTGTGTATTTATTTGTGTGTCCTGGGGCCCCTTCAACAAGGGAGTACTTGAAGAACATGTGATAGTAACCTGCCCAGCAGCCCAAGCCCCAATGACAAGGCACTGGGCGCCGGCACGACCTGCCGCACAGCACCGGAGGGCGCGTGGTGAGGGCTCTGGGCCGCGTACCATTCTATGCGAAGCCTTGGGCGAGTCAAAATCGGGGGTGGACAGAACCCCCAACAGTGACACGTCGATTAGTGAATTGTCCGTTTTCGGTTCTCGAGATGGCGCCGTGGCCGTTATTTTCCAGGCTTGCGCCCGCCAGGTTTGGGCCTCCTGTCGTTTTCACTAAACCACGTTTTACTAAAGGGGGGTCTGTCCATCCCCGACAAAAGATGGCGGATGGAATCCAAGCTTTCGGGGACACCATGAGCGCCAGAGATAGGTCTGACGCCCATATTGGCGGATGCACGCACGCTCACTGTGAAGACAGCAGGGCTACCTTTCAGGAATGCGACGGTGAGGAACAGGCCTTCGCGATGCTTGCAAGATACGCGTAAGTAAACACATGTGGTGGAAGGTGGCATGCTTCAAGAGGCGCGGGCGCGGCAGTAATTGCCTTTCTGGTCAGTACGGGACCCATCAACATATGCCACAACCCAGCAACGACGACGGAAAGAGAACGACGGCAGGAGGGGGGAACGACGGGAGAGAAAAGAGAGAGCGAGAGACAGGCTACGGAGCCTGGCAGCGCGCAACTCAAACGCAGCGGACGAGAGGCGAGGGGAGGAAGCCAAAAGCAAGCAGCGGAGGGATCTGCGGCATGCCGTGCGGGCCAGACATGCCAGAAAATGGTCTCGATGTTCAGGCACTCGATCGCCAGCACGCTCAGAGCGCCAGGTGGCATGGTGGACAGGTGAGGTGTTTCAGTAGAGCCTTGCGGGTTGCGAGGCCCCCTGTACCTCGAGCCCCTTTGCCCCAAAAAGGCCAAAGGAGACACCCACTGGCCGGGGCTCCCGCGACGCCGAACAGGCCTGATTCCGATCCGGCTCAGACGACGTGCGGGGGAGCGGGATCTTTGGCCGCTGTGAATCGCCGCTGCTCCCACCGTGCGTGCTCACCGCGCTCCACACGCATCCCACCGCCTCCAATGGGGCCTCTTAAGCCTTCGGAGGCCGTCGCGGGGGCCTCGCTCGGGGCTGCCGTGGGCCCCTCCTGGCACGCTCCTGGGCCACCTCGGAGGCCCGTGGGGCCGTCTTGGGGCCCAGTGGCCCTCGCGAGCCGTGCTGCGGACCCCACCCCATAAGGGGGCCTCCTGGGCCGTCGCGGGGCGACCTCGGGAGCCGCGGGCCGCTGGGCTGGCCCCCCCCCCCTGCGGCCGCAGGCGCAGCTGCTGCGCTCGGAGTTGCTCCGGGGCGTGGCGGAGGACCAGGCGCTGCAGGCGCGCACCCCGCCGGGGGCGCGGGGCCGTTGTCGCCACCGCCGCCCGCTTCATCCCGCGCCGCTCGCCTCTCCCAGCCCCTGTCGTTCTCCCCCCTGCGGGCTCGAGCCTCGGCCGGCTGGCCTCTTTTCCTTTTGCTCTTCCCTGTTCTCCTCCGGTCCCTGTTCGCGTGCGCGGGGAAGGAAGAAGTGGAGGAGGAGGAGGAGGAGGAGGAGGAGGAGGAGGAGGAGGAGGAGGAGGAGGAGGAGGAGGAGGAGGAGGAGGAGGAGCAGGAGGAGCAGGAGGAGCAGGAGGACTAGGAGGTGGAGCAGGAGGAGGCGGAGGCGGAGGCGGAGGAGAAGGGAGGTGGAGCAGGAGGCGGCGGAGGCGGAGGCTGCAGAGGGGGAGGAGGAGGAGGAGGATGTGGGAAGAGTGCATGCGGAGGGCGGAAGGCGGAGGGTGGAGGCAGAGACTGAGCGGGATGGTGATGATGATGATGATGATGATGATGATGATGATGATGATGATGATGATGATGATGATGCTGATGCTGATGCTGATGATGATGATGATGATGATGATGATGATGATGATGATGATGATGATAATGCTGATGCTGATACTGATGCTGATGCTGATGATGATGATGATTCTATGCTGCTGCTGATGATGATGGTGGTGGTGGTGATGATGATGGTGATGATGCTGGTGGTCATGGTGGTGATGATGATGGTGATGATGGTGCTGACGATGATGCAACTGGTGAAGATGGCGATGATTGCGATGATGATACTGATTGTGCTGATGTTGGTGATCATAAGGATGGTCGTGTTGGTGATGATGTTTATGTTGTTGATGATGATGCTGATGATGATGATGGTGATGATTTTGATGATGATGATGCTGATGATGATGGTGATGATGATGCTGATGCTGATGATGACGATGCTGACGACGACTATGATGAGGACTCATGGTGATAATGGTGGCGGTGGTGGTGGAGGTGGTGACGATAATGATGACGATGACGATGATGATGATGATGGTGATGGTGATGGTGATGATGATTATGATGATGGTGTCGATGTTGGTTGTACTGATGCTGATGGTGATGATTATGATGTACTGGTGTTGGTGATGCTTATGACGATGATGTTGCTGGTGCTGCTGCTGCTGCTGATGATGATGATGATGATCATTCTGACGATGCTGGAACTCATTGCTGCATGTTATTGTAATGATGGTGGTTATGCTGATTTTGCTTATTATGCTTCTGATGATGGCGGTGCTGATGATCATCATGGTGATGGTGATTGAAGTGTTGACGCGGATAATGCTGATGATGCTGATGATGGTAATGATGATGATGATGATGATGATGATGATGATGATGATGATGATGATGATGATGATGATTATTGTGTTGATGATGTTGACGATGATGCTGATTGCTGCTGCTGCTGATGATGAGGTTGATGACTATGATGCTGATGATCATGATGCTCATGATTATGATGATGGTGGTGATGATGATGACGATGACGATGACCATGCCGATGACCATGACGATGATGATTATGATGATGATGATGATGATGATGATGATGATGATGATGATGATGATGATGATGATGATGATGACGGTGGTGGTGGTGGTGATGATGATGATGATGATGATGATGATGACGATGATGATAATGCTGGTGGAGACGATGACGGTTGTGAAGAAGAGTAGGGCTCATAGGGGGAGGGGGAACGACGACGTGGAGCTGGAGGGAGGGACAGGCAGGATAGCTCTCGCACGGGAACCACGTCGGGTCACGGGCCAGGGCCTGTCCCCGAGCGATCCCGAAGCGCCCCCCCCCCGCCCTGATGGTGGAGATGTGTTAATTAGCTGGCCCCCCCGATCGCCGGACCTTTCCTCGGGCGCGCTGTTCGACTGCACTCATGTCGGGGGTGGACAGGCCTCCTACCCTGACACGTCGATGAGCGAATTGGCCTATTGGCCTTTTTCGCTTCGCGAGAGGGCGTCGCGGCCGTCATTTTTGCGGGTCCAGGTCCGTCGGTTTCGGTCCCAGGCCGTTTTCGTTCAGGGGAGGTCTACTAAACGGAGGTTTGTCCACCGCCGATTCGACTGCACTTATGAGTGACCTTCGCCGAAGTGACCTTTGGTGCGCGCCCACTGGGCCCCCCGATCGCCGAGTGCGATGCGATGGTAGCGCCTTGCCCGCTCGTGTTTGGTCCCCCCGCGGCCTTCAACGAGCCGCGCACCAAAGGCCACCCTTACCAAGGTTCACTCTTGCGTGCAGCCGAGTTGTTGGGAGTTGAATTTCATGGCGGAATCACCTGTGGCCGCGAGGGCACCCTGGGAGGCTCGAGGAGGCCCGGAAGCAGAAGCGTTCTCGATTTTCGATCCTCCTCCCTGCTCCTCGCCTGCTGCTGGCCGCCAGGCCCACAGGTGGCATCTCGCAAAAGTTGCAACCGCCCGGGGACTTCCCACCTCCAAGGGAAGCTTATCGTCTTACAGACCTCTTCCTGCTCCTCCTCTTTAGTTCCTTTTCCTTTACATAGTTCCTCCCTGTCGCACCCCGAGGCTGGTCGAAAGGGCGGGCTGGGCGTTTCGCCTCAGACTTCCTCACAAATTCTGATCCTGAAACTTGGAATTTGCAATCGTTTCACGGGTGGAGGGCAAGTCGTTTTCAAAATGTGGCTCTCGCCTTAGCGCCCGCCATGCACATCCGTCTTTACAAAGTGGAAGTGTTTCATGGATGGAGGTCGGGTGATTTTCAAAATGTGGCTCTCGCCTTAGCGTCGCGCACATGCGTTTTCAGAGCTTACAGCTTTAAGCATTCTCATGCTCATCGTCCCAGAGGTGGTGTTCTGGCAAGCTGTCGGACTGTCAGGGCGCAACAGTTACGTTTTGATTCGTGGTGTTGAAGACCCAGTACTGGAATTGCGTTACGGCGCTGTTCAGGACCGTCAAGACGCAAAAGTAGCGGTGACTCGCGGCGTTGAAGTCTCAGGAAGGGTGTTCTGGCGCAGTTCAGGGTTTCTTTCAGTGAACATGAATCCATGTAGGGTTTTAAAAAAAGAAACTTGGCGGGAGGGTGTAGTGCAACATCGTTGACGAGTCTTTGGTTTGCACTGGTCTATTTCCCTCCTCCTCGCCATGACCCCAGCCGCCTCTTCCAGCTGAGCCGCCGCCGCTGTCGCCGTCGCCGTCGCCGTCGCCGTCGCCGCGGCCGCCGCCGCCGCCGCCGTTGTCGTCGTCGTCGTCGTCGTCGTCGTCGTCGGCGGCGGCGGCGGCGGCGGCGGCGTCGTCGGCGTCGTCGGCGGCGGCGTCGTCGTGGTCGTCGTCGTCGTCGGCGGCGTCGTCGTCGTCGTCGCTCGTCGTCGGCGCCCGCAGCGGGGGCCGCGCGCGCGCGGGCGCCGCGGGCTCGCCAGGCGCGCCTGCGCGGGGAGGCCGCGGAGGACCTCGGCAGGGCCCGCGGCCTCAGCGCGAGGGGCCCTTCGGCGATCCCCTCGTCGGAAACTGGAACATACCCCAGATTTCGTAATAAAGGGAGGGGGGTCTCATTCCTGGGGGGGCCTCTCCCAGGCTATCTTGGAGGGCCTGGGGGGTCTGGGGACGATGTTTTGGAGGGTTCTCCCACGGGGGAGGTCTGAAATGGCTTGTCTTGGAGGGTCCAGACCCCCTCCCTTTTATTACGAAATCTGGAGTACATTACCAGTGGCGGGCTGTTTTTCAATCCCAGGGCTTTTTGAGGGTCGGGGGCGCCGCTGGGGCGGTGTGATGTGTACTTTTGTCCCCGATGTCCCGGGGAAACGACGAAAAATGTATACGCCAGGGTCCCGTACACACCAGGATCCGCTCTCCAATGCAAATTTCAATGCAGGGCCGGAAAAAGCGTCGGTGTATAGAGTTCGATTCCCTACCTCGCCTGGTAAAAACTGTACGACGGGAGGTTACTCTCGCGATTCTAGGCCTCCAGTGACCCTCCGGCCCCAGGGCCGTCGAACAATTTCTTGCGCGGGATGAAAAACGGGCCCTGGGGAGAGGGTTGGGGTCTTCGGGGGGCCGGTGTCCTTAAGATTTGGACGTCGCACTCTGGGACTGGATCTCCGGCGATTCGTGACCTGTTACGAGGGTCCTTGCATTCCAGGTCGTGGCTGATCAAGAGGGGTTCCTTGAGGTCTGGGCGTCGCTATTTTTGTTGCACCGGGTTTTCGCCCGGTGTCGGGCCCCAGGACCATCACAGGTGGAGCCAACTCGAGAATGCCGCAGAAAGGTGGGGTGGCTCCTGTCGTGCTTTTTCCAGATGTTCCTCTTTTGCAACGTCGGATCTCAGGGGTGGGGAGTCTGATGCCTGCAGCTCGTTTCGGCTCCGTCGCCGGGCGCTTTCCTCGATGCGTCTGCGCCTCTGGCGCTGGAAGGCGCCAGGAAAGGCGGCTGCATGCAACGGACTCGCTGTCCCCCTCTTTGCTGTTCCCCCCGCCCGCCCCGATCAAAGCTTTTGGGCTTTGGGGGTTCCTTCAAAGATCTCACGCTTGGCCCCTAAGAGACGGCTGTGGCCACGTGATATGGGCTGCTGCTTGACATGATCATGCAGACGCAAGACGTGTGAGAAATACGGATGCAGGACCAAGAGATAGATCGAATGTCAGGTCCGGCCGGACGACATGTAAAATATTAGCATTCGTGGTTTTCTTTCTTAGAGTATAACTTTTTATTTCAGGCTAGTGCTTAGCTATGCTTTTGAGGATATCTTTCTTTGGGTGCGGGGATGCGGAGTGGCTTGGAACCTTTGAATGTAGATTTTTCAAACAGAATAACTCGTGAACAGTGGGTCTTGTACAACTTTTCAGGCTCTCGTGTACTTTCCGCTCCGTGGCACTTGGACGAACCAGCTTTGCAGATAATTGGTGCACTAGTGAACGTAAGACGTAGCATTCGACGTTCGTCTGGGGAATGGTTCGTTCCGGGGTCGCGTTTTACCAGCGGGTTGTCGTCATTCAGAGGATGCGCACAGATTTAGGTCGTGGAAAATACAATCATGTGTAGTATTTTGGATTTGTGCTATTTCAAGGCAGGCCAGTGTTTCGTCAACCATTGCAGTATTATGTGTTTTTCTACTTGCTTTTACGTGTACCCTGCTCTGAGTAGCGAAGGATCATACTGATCATATTTTGGCTATGATGTTCTGGTTCAGTCCCAGAAAGTGTTATGTCAACCTTTTGTCAGGTTGTTGTATGTTTAAGTCAAGGTGTTCTGATTGTTTTCGTGTGTAAGTCCCTTTCGATGTAATTGTTTCGTGGGTCTCTGAGGCGGGAGTCGCTCTCTCCGATAATTTCTTGTGCACCTCTCAGGCGGTGAAGAAGACGGATGGGTAGGTGGGTGAGGAGGTGGATGAGTATAAGGAGACGAGGCAATGATCAGATGAATGCCAAGGGTGAGGCTGGGGTAGGCCCAGAAATTCAACGTTGATGCCCAGGGGGTAGATCTTGGCGGTAGGGTTTGGTGAGGCGACCACATACAATAATACATGAGCAACCACATTCCTTTACATATTACATGGCGGTGAGACCGAAAGGAAACGGAGTCCTCCAACGGGGGGAATCGATCTCGGTTTAGTTTCGTGTCGTGCGTGACGCGCGTGCGTGCGAGGCGTGGAGAAGCTGCGCGCGTCATTACCCGAGCCAGGCCCGGGTGAGGCCATTCTGCCTGCCCCCCCCTCCTCCCTGGCTGCCGGGGCGCGCGCGGGGTTGTCCCGCGATTGTCTTGTGGCTGTCCTGTGGTCCTCCTCCTCCTCCTCCTCCTCCTCCTCCTCCTCCTCCCCATCATCCTCCCCCTCCCCCTCCTCCTCACCCTCCTCCTCCTCCTCCTCCTCCTCCTCCTCGGTTGTCTTGTGGTTTTCTGGTGGGTGACTTGCGGGTGTCCAGCGGCTGTCCCGATGGCTGACCCGCGGTTGTCTTGTGGATGTCCCGCGGTTGTCTTGTGGTTATCCCTCGGTTGTCCCGTGGCTGTTTTGTGTGCTTGTTGTTTGTTTGACAGTGTGGTTGTCCCGTGGTTGTCCCGACCGGCTGTTCTCCCGATGGCTGTTCTGTGGTTGTCCCGTGTCAGTCCTGTGGATGTCTTGTGGTTGTCCCGTGGTTTTCCCGTGGTTGTTCCGTGGTTGTTCCGTGGTTGTCCCATGTTTGTTTCGTGATTGTCCCGCGGTTGTCCCGTGGTTGTTTAGGCGGGTGTTTTTTGCTGTTGTTCAGGGGTTGTATTGCGATTGTCTTGTTTGTGTGTGCATCGCTAGACAGTAGGACCGATCGATAATAATAATTTCAGTATGTGTATACGTATGTGTATTGATTTTGGTACCAGTGTACAGGTAAGAGCACGTGCGAACCGTGATACGCATATATACATATATATATATATATATATAGAGAGTGTGTGTTCATCCATGATTGTTCTGTCTACAATTTCAGCATTCTTTCTGGCAGCGTGAGGATAAGTACTGCCTTCTTGGCTCAGGTGTGCCCTCCTCTCGATCCTCCCCGGCCCTCAATTCGGCGGCGCGCCAAGAGGGCAACTTTGAGGGGGCAGGCCTTCTCAGACGGCGGCCTGGCTTCTTAGAAGCCCTCCGTCCTTTCGCGGAGTCCCCTGCGGCTTCGGAGAAGGCTCAGAACGCTTCTCAGAAGGCGGAAGGCCTCCTACGCCTTCTCAGGAGGCCCGCCCCCTATGCCTTCCCAGAACTCCCCACCCCGTGTCTTACTCACAACGTGGACCCCCCAAGTCTAGACCCATTCCCCGGGACAGGCTTTTCATCCCGCGTCGTTTCTTGAGTGTGCCCCAGGGGCTGAAATTGGTAAAAACCTCCCAGGGGCTGAATTTGGCAAAAACCTCCCTTGGACCGGCTTCTCATCCCCAGCCGTTCCTTGAGGGCCCACAGTCCGAGTGACGGCCCCCCACGGGCCGAACGTGGTCAGAAACCTCCCGCCGCTTTTTGCCACGAGCGGGTGCCAGGGCCCCGGTTTCCCGCGTCGTCTATCGAGGGCCCACAGTCCCGGTGACGGCCCCCCAGGGGCCTCATCATCAGCTCATCATCATCATCATCATCATCATCATCATCATCATCATCATCATCATCATCATCATCATCATCATCATCATCATCATCATCATCACCGTCATCATCATCATCATCATCATCATCATTATCATCATCGTCATCATCATAATCATCATCATCATCATAATCATCATCATCATCATCATCATCATCATCATCATCATCACCATCATCATCATTGTCATCATCATCATCCTCATCAGTCTCATCACCATTCTCATCAACATCGCCGCTACCATCACACTCACCACCACCATCAGCATCACCACCGCCATGCGCACCATCCCCACCGCCGTCCTCCACCCCGTTCGCCTCCCCCCTGGGGCGCGCCGCCGATCGATATGCCCGATGCCCCTCCCCCGATGGCGGCCGCCGCGGCGGAGCTCGTGCGGCGCCTGGGCGCCGGCGCGGGCCCCGCCGAGCGCGCGGAGGCCGCGACGGCGCTGTGGAGGCCATCTGGTGCCCCCCTTCTTTCCTCCCTCCCCCTCTCCCCTCCCCGCGCTGAGCGAATCAGTATTTCAGTAGCCATTTGAATTGCCAAGCCTTTGGGTTGTGCCCTCGTGTGCATGCCTCTTGTTTCGGTGACATCCCGCCTCCTGATTCTGATTCTGCGGCCACGCGCAACGAGCGCGTTTCACTACTCGCAAAGTGCCTGCTCGCAAACGTCCGCGCTCGAAATGTCTTCCTATGTGTGATGGGTCGTAAATCCCCCGCGGCCGTTCCAGGCCATTTGCGAGTGGTTACTTTGCGAGTAGTGGAACGCGCTTGTCCACACTCGCAGGGGGGGGGGGCAGCCCTTTGGGGCCAAGTCGGGCCTGTCCCTCCAGAGGAGGGATATCCCAAAATAGTAAAAACACATAGTCAGGGGACGATTTTTTGATCATTCTTCGACTGTTTTTGAATATCCTTCGGGTGCGTTTCATTTTTCGCCCAAAACCCCCCCGCAAGGGGGCCAGGCCCGACCTGACTTTGGGGCCCTTCGCTTCCCGCGGTTTTGGCCGCTTTTGCCCCTCCTCTTCCCAGGGAGGTCCAGCGTCTTTGGCGACGTCGGGGCGCGGGTGTCCCACAGTCCGGCCCAGCCTCTGGGGGCCACTCGCCGCGCCCCGGGCCTCTCGAGAGGCGACTCTCGGGGGGAGGAGCGGGCCCTGGGGACGGGTTTGGGGGCTTCTGGCCACACGCAGGGGGGAGGAGGGTTCAATCGGGCCTGACCCTCTACAGGAGGAGTATCCAGAAATGGTCAAAACACAGTCTGGGCACTATTTTCTGATTCTTGTCTCGATCATGTTTTTGATTTGTTTTGAGTATTTTTTAATATTTCGCCCAAGATCCCCCTGTAGGGGGACAGGCCCGACCTAGGGGTAG